AAAATAAATAAATAAATAAAATAAATAAATTATGGGACATGTAGTTTAAAAAATACGTTTCTAATACTTTTGATGGTCATATGGAAACTACAATCAATTACCCAGTTTATTCCAAAGCAGTTCCCTAAAAGCAAATGAGGCAGAGTTTGTGCACATGTTCAGCATTTCCCCACAATAAGGAGCCACTTCCCATAATGCTAATATATGCATTCCCTCATGTATACATAAGTTGTTGGGCAATTACAGCCCACACATACATCGTGCAGCACCTGCCTTGGCGTGGCATCAGGAATATAAAATCAGCATGCAGACGAATGTTAACTGTGCTTCTCATTCTGTCACACTGTCACAATCAAGCGTAGGCACACACTTATTCATTTCGGATCTTGAAGACTCCTGCTTAAAGACATACACACCCATGCCCTGCCTCACAAGTCCATATGTGAAAGCCCCACCATGAAACTTCCACGGTCAAGAAAGTAGCATGATTTGAGACAAGACACTTCATTTCATGTTCTAAAACAAAATCTTGAACAGAGCAAACAGTTTTCTGTTCCTCTGCAGATGTTAACTATCAAAACAAAGCTAGGAAACAACTCAAAACACTGAATTGCATAATGTCCTTATTTAACCATTCAAAGGGAAAATGTTTAGGTTTATAACTCTGAAGTGACATAATAAAGATAAGACACAACACACAATTTTGTTTCTGCCCATGGATCGATCAGACCACTACTTTTGTTTTTCTATAAGTAACTAGAGGAGATGATACCTGTCAGACAATGCAGATTCTAGTTGTCTAAAATACTTGTATAATTTCCTATCTATGGAAACTGCATTACATAATACAATCTACAGAAAATGCTTTATCACCAATTACTGCCATTGGGAATTGTTGTAATATTTATTTTACATGGTAGATTTTTGTTTTATGCTGAATTGCCAGATCTGTATCTCTTGTTCTCCATGGCCATTTGACATCATGATTTACAGCTCTTTCTCTCCCCTCATTTGTACACACATTTGACTGAGGTTAACCTTCCATGTATCTCATAAACTAGACTCTGCTCCATGGAAGTTTATTAGACAATAATTTTTTTCACCTTTCTAAGACTCCATTCTTTTTTAAAAACTGGAGATCCAAGGCCTGAGTATGTATACATCGACTCCCCCTGCCTCAAGTTTTCCTGTATCAACAGGCATATATCCATACTGAATCCTTTTCAAACTCCTGTTTCTCTCCCTACTATAAGTTCAAATGCAGCTAATATATTTTTATAGTTGTCACACCTAGGGTTGTTTACTATATTGGGGCAAATGGGATTTTTTGCTTCAGTGTACACAAATTTAGAGCGCACTGAAATCTAGAAGCAAATCTATCTGTGAGTGTTAGGAAAATAAATAGTAACACCCCCCGAGTCATATTTACTTTCCCTTTTTTAAAGTACTATCATTTTTGTCCTTCACTAGAGTTGGGGGTGGGAGTAAAACTAAAGGCTCCTCCTTTTTCTTTGGAGTTGTTAAGAGCTTTGTCTGATGTTTCTTGGTACTGTATTTAAGGAGGTTCGTTTCCAAATAGAGGGGCAAGCTGGGTTAGGGAGTGCCATTTTCTCACCTGTCCCCCATAGTGTTTGGTTCAGATGGCTCAGATGTGGTTAGGAGCAGACATTTTGTATATGCTCAATGCAGAGTGGGTCCTGGACTGAGCAGAAGGGGCACTTTAAGGCAAAAGCTTTTGCTTCAATCATGTGGCCTAGTAGAGGAATGCATACTTCAGATGCTCAAAGGCTCTGACTTAGATATAACTCAATTATTTTCCATGGCCCTTCATGTTCAAAAAATCAAGCACCGTTTCTGCAATTGGAGGGTAGATAATCTCCTTATAGGACATCATGAATATAAAATTTTCTTGCATTTTCCCCAGGTCTGCTATGTACAGTGTTTACTACTAAGAGGTATATTTTTGATGAACACAGATGTTACATTTTGAGATCATGACTAATAATCCACTGCTAATTTATCTAACCCTTTTGAAAAGGCATCTGAGCTAATCACCATTGTAGCGGTTAATTCCACAAGTTAATTATGCATTGTGTGATGATGTGCTTTTTTGTTTTTTGTGAATCTTATTAACCATCATTTGCATTACATGAACTCTAGATCTGAAATTGTCCTTGTGAGGAAAAAAATCTCTACTCTTTCTACTAACAACCCTGTCATTTCTCTTTCTCGCTACTGAACCTTTTTCTATCTATATGATAATAATTTTTGATATAGGACAATGCAAACCATAGTCAGCATTCTACACAGAACCATAGATTAGTATAATGATATTCATGGTTTATATTTCAATCCCTTTCCTAATAACTCTTGACACTCAATTTGCCTTTTGCCTCTCTGCCAAACTAAGCTGATGCCCACAGAGAGTTCTCCACTATTTGGTTTCAAGTTCAGCTTCCCTCGGGTCAGAGACAGCTTGGGAAAGGGGCCTCATGGCATTGGAATGGGGTATTTTTCCTCCATTAACAGGAAAGCTACAGGATCAAAAAGCTGACACAGAACTGCTGGGTAGCTCAATGGTTTAGGTAGAAACTGGGAACCCAATTCCCCACTGTGCCTCCTTGACGGGCTGGACTCAATGATCCATAGGATCCCTTCCAGCTCTGTAGTCCTAACAGTGCTGTCATTATTATATTGTTATATAATGCAGCTTAGATGGTAAACCCACTCCAACACATTCAGCTGTGTTGGAGTGGGCTGTACCATGTATGTGAGGTACTGGGATGTACCTCACGTACATGATACACAAGGCCAGGCAAGTTCTTCAGGCACCGGAGGCAGAAGATCAAAATGTGCTTCTTATTTATTCTATTGTTTATTTATTAAATAATGTTAACTAATATTTAAAATAATTGTAAAAAAATAAATACAACTGTGCCTTTATCACCCAATAAAGCTTTGCTTTATTGGGTGATAAATAAATACACCTCTTTATCTGCTGTATTTATTTATCGTCTTTCTGCCCACCCGTCATCCCAAAGTGAAGGATAGTGAAATAAACAAAAATATTTTTAAAAGCTAGTTCAAACACTGGGGTTGCATATTTAGTCAGCATGCCATGATCTCATTCATTATGGGGTCATTTTTTTCTCCCAATAACAAAAGTACAACTAAAACAAATTAAACAGATAATAATTTATTGAATGGGTGGTCTGTCATGTTACTGGCAATTAACTGCCATAGGTAGCCGCCCCACTCTATCTAATGGCAGAGCTGGCTATTCCGTGTCCTATTACAAAGGAGGGCATCAAATGTCAACAGTGCTTTGAAATGTCACACTTCACGGAAAGCCAACATGTCACAGAAGAACCTTTTAGCCCTGCGTTTTCTGATTGAGCACATGTGGGACCTTTGGAACCTTATACCTTAGCTGCCTTATACAGAGTCTGACCATCAGACCATCTAGCCTAGTACCGATGACACTGATTGGTCTTCAGAGTTTCAGGCACAAATTATTCCAGTTGTTGTTCAGTTGTATCCAACTCTTCGCGACCCCATGGACCAACCTGGAAATCTTAGGGATCGAACCGGGAACCTCTGCGTACAAGTCATGTGTCTTTTAATCTGGAGAAATGTTACCTCTCCTTTTCCTAGATTCTGAATTACTGTAGTACAATCCACCAAGAGCAGCACTGCAGAGTTTTGCTAAGCCTGCACCTCGCAATGCCTGAGGACGGATATACATGATCAAGACATTGACCAGTGCCCCATTCCCCTTCCTCACATCCTTCTCTTCCCCTCCCCTCTAAATCAGAAGGAAGTCACCTGTACAAGGGATACTTACTGATTTAATTCAAGGTCCAGGATGAAGGCTGAGCCAAATGCATGGACGAGGAAACTCACCTGGGCCAGATGCACAACCTGTGGGAAACAGGGAGGAAGGGAGGGCAGGAAGGGGAAAGAAATCAGAAAGAGAAAGGGAGGCAGGGATTAGCCTTCTCTAGCATTTGCCTTTATTTTAACAGTCATAGTCAAATAATCTTTATACCTATTATATTAATTCTTACGGGGTATTCAATAGTAGTTCTCAACAGCATTTGCTTTCAGATCCAAGTGTGCTTGACTGCATGAGGTTCTTAGTACTTTTGCAATTCCCCTTCTTTCTTCTCCCTGGTTGTCCCTCTCCCCCACTGTCAAAATCTAGACTGTAAATTCCTTGAGACATATATTGGTGGTGTGGGTTTATTTTTCCATTTGTAACTCTTCAGAGTACTCTACAGCCATGTGGTGTAAAAATAAAATCATTCCCCCCCCAATCCCACCCACCCATGTCAACTATTTCTTCCACATTCCAGTTTTTTTAAAAAATATTTAAAATGTACTTAAAATAAAATTCAAGATGTATTTAGAAATATTTCAAGGCTGATGCTTATCCATCATACTGTTCTTACAGAAGACAGTCATAAAAGAGTGTAGCTGTACACATGTGCAAAGTACCTTTGTTCCTCGCCAATGAGTTTGCATTCAGCACAGTCTTAAAGAGAGGGGTGTGCAGTTCATAGAACCTAACTTCCAGATCACTTGAAAACCCAATACATTTAATTTTTAGAAATCAACTAAACTGCACTCCTTAAACAATATGAGATGTCAGGGCCCACGCGAGTACACTTCCCATAGTGGTCTCATTAATGAATTAAGCAGGACAGCTTGAAAGGAGGCAACAGCAGTACAAATTTTAGTTGGGCAGCATTTGGCCCATTAACATGTGCAGTTTAAAGCTACTAATTCTTCCCTAAAAAAGCAGGCAGAGCTCAGAAAAATTAAATTTTGGGCAATGACTCCAGAATCCCTTGCCCATGCTGGCTGAATGAGGAGACTAAATAAGAGATTATAATACTATTGTATTCCATGAATACAACATCATTTGGAAGATGCAGGAGCCAGTAAGCCAGTAAGCAATGTATCTCCAAGCCAAATAAGTGGAGAAAGCCGCTTTATTTGTTTGTTTGTTTGTTTGTTTGTTTGTTTGTTTGTTTGTTTGTTTGTTCGTTCGTTCGTTCGTTCGTTCGTTCGTTCGTTCGTTCGTTCAATTCATTCATTCATTCATTCATTCATTTGATTTATACCCCGCCCATCTGGCCTATAAGACCACTCTAGGCAGCTGTCCGAAACAGATATGCAACCCAAGTACCAGTTATTGGTACTGGACATTAGTACCATTTTAGACTCTAGCATTCCACTGGTTATCAATCATGTTGATAAGTGGCTCAAAGATCAGCTGGAAATGTGCATACTGGAATTTATCAGACATGTTGCATCTGCAATTTAAGGTACAGCTTTATACCTGTTTCTTGGAAATGAGGTATATTGAGGCAGGTGGAGTTTACTTCAAGGAAAGACTACACTCTAAATGGTTAAGAAATCACACTCCATAGATGCATACTCAGAAGCAAAACATAGTGAGGAAAGTGGAATGTTAGCTTTCCTTTTTCTTTGTTCCTATACAAGATTTCTGCCTCAGACAAACCAAGACAAAAACTGCTTGCCAATATTCAATTTTAACAGTTTCACATTCAGCAGTTAGAATGCTGGTGAACGTTCTGTGGCATCAAAGCACCTCAGCCAGCAGCTGACATGGTTTCCAGACAGGGAGGAAACAGACAAGAGACACCTAGTGTTTTGCCTATGACAAACTATGCAAATATTTCCTAACAACTGAGCATCCTTACAAGAATTCCCCCACCCCCTTTAACAAGGCAGGATTTATCTTCAGAAATTGTTTTCACAATGCCAAGGCTCAGGCATGGAATACTGCATACGAAATAATAATCCTGCGAATGTCCCTCAATTTTTGAAGAGTACATTTGCCTCAAAGCATGTAAAAAGCAGATGACCTCTCATCATTTGAAGCTGAACGTGGATAAGACCGAAGACTTAGATTTTCATCCACCCTCTGACCATCTCTTCTCCTCCAGAGCTGTTCGGTAACTCCCATTTTGGAGGCCATAAATCTTGGCATTTTAGTGAACAATTGCGAACAGGCAACATATGTAATTTCCATCTTGCTAACATTCACCCAATCCACTGCTCTATGACTAGAGAGCTCCTTGTTCCTGGCCTCATGGTTTCACACCTGAATTATTGCAGTAATCTCTTGGCAGGTCTTCCTTCTTTACTCCACGCCATTATCCTTGTACAGAATAATGGAACGGTGGGTGCTTCTAGATTTATTGCATTACTCCGATATTTCCTATCACCATAGGGCATTGTATTGGCAGGCTGCCAGGTCAAGGACATATTTTGAGATCCTTGTCTTGATATTTAAAGCCATGCATTTTCCTGTCCTAACTATTTGGCAGAGCTGGTGGCATGGCATGTTCCTTTAAGAGGGCTTGGTTTGAAGAGTCAGGATTTCTGGTGGTCCCTTGGACTTAGGGGGCAAATTGCAGGCTTCCGGCATTCTCCTGTGAGTGTCTAAAGCTGTGGAACTTTCTCCCACTCCACCACCATATAGAACCAGGTTTGGACAAATTTAAAACAGGTTTGAGAACCAATCTGTTCAATTTGGAGTCACAGGTATCAGGTAGATGGAGATGCTAGCAATCAGTGTGTCTGAACTTGAATTGACTAATTGGTTTTATGGCTGCTTGTTCCAACGTTTAAATGTTTTATATTGGTGTACTGTGAGGGGATCAGTGCTAGCACACATGGCAGGCCTTCTGTCCCCACCCGAGACACTCAGGTGACACCCTTAGAGCCAGTGACTGCTGGTTCTGAGACAGGTGAGGGATGGGAGCACCTGTCTTGGGAGAGAGGGCAGAATATCGTGGGCAAGGAACACCTTCTGGGGACAAGGGGTCTGAGGTCCCTCTGTAGCTGAGGGTTGTCAAGGAGGCACAGGAGCAGGAGAAGGGGATGGCTGGTGAGAGGGAAAGTGGGCAAAGTGAGTCATGGAGCTTGGGAGACCTGTCGGACCCCCCAAAAAGAATAGGGGGACTGGGTCAACACTCAGGAAAAGGTGGCTGATACTTATAGCAAGGAGGAAGTCTCAGAGCCAGAGGGTGATTGGAAAGAGGTCTTGGTCCTGCCCCGCAACTCCAAAGGTCAAGCCTGTGCCTTGGAAGCATCTTGCCAGAGTGAGCTCCATGTGCTATGATGTTGGGACTACCACTGCCAGCTGGAGCTGGGCCAGGGGGGCCCATGCCAGTGCAGCATCAATGCTGGAGAAGGAAGAGGCAGAAATCTTGCCAGCAGTGCCTCTAACAGCAGCTGCCTTCCCCGACAACCCAGCCAGAATCCTGCACCTTGCCCTCGTTGTGGCCTTTCCAATTATCGCTGCCACTGAAAGAGGTCATCGTTGTCACAGCCGTGGCGGCAACACAGCCTTCAAGGAGCCTGTGCGCTGCTTTCTGCACAGGCATCTGACCCCCAGCTGATTGCCCTGATCAGCTGGGGCACAGGTGCATGTGCAGAAGGCAACTCCCAAGCTCCTTGAGGACCATGGCAGTGGGGCAACTGGAGAAGGTTAGTGCTCCCCCCTTCCCCATGAACTGAATCAGTTCACATTTCAATTTTCTGGTTGGTTCGTGGTTCGTGCCGACCACACACCATCAAAAAACACAATTTTTCAGGTTCGTGCCCATCTCCAGTTTGGACCAGCAGTCCCACAATTCCTTGCCATTAGCTATGCTGCCTGTGGATGATGGGTTTGAAGTTTAAATAAAAACATCAAAACCTGCTCTATTTGTTTGTCTAATATCTTTTAAAGTCTTTCTAAACTAGAGCTTGTCCTCACATCTTGCAGCAGTAAATTCTGCAAGTGAATGATACCTTTTGCAAAGTGCTTCCTTTTCCCAGTCCAGAACGCACTGCCAGTGTTCTGGGAAGAAATCCCAACATTATTTATTTATATATTTATTTATTTAAGTGTACCTTCTGAGAGAGACATGTAGGATCAATTCTGCCAGGGAAACAACCTTACAGAGATCCCGGGGAGAGGCAGGAACTGTGTGCTGTTGGCAGAAAAGTTGGGGTTGAGTGGAAAGGGTAGTCAGAATGACTGGTGGGAAGGAGGGGAAGGTAGGTAGGCAGCAGGCTAAAAGCTTCTAGGGACTGAGTTCTGGCTCTCATTAAGCCCTGCTCAAATGCTACTGCAGCAAATTGGGCTAATGCAATTTTTGGCTGCATAATGGAAGTGGAGAGCAAAAGGAGGGAATGGTTGAGATCGAACAAGAAGAATACTCAAAATGTGAGAGCCAGTCCATTTTCTCTGTTGTGTGCTCTCTCTTCTTTCTCTGAGGTGGAGTTGAGGGGGAGCGGTGTGTGCGTGTGCGCGTGTGAAATTCAGGGTGAAGTTCTGAGAACATTTCAAGGGCTGAAAAACAAGATCTTTGGGGAGAGACAGAAGGAGTGCAACATATTTAGCTGCAATCAAAAAGATGACGAAAAGGTGAAACACTTTCACTGTACATAGCAAACCGAAAGAACATATTTAACTCTTTCTTTGCACTGATATTTTGTAGGCAATGTAGTTCCTGATTTTAGAAAAAACTTGCTTTATCCATTGGAGACAAGAGGCTGAAATGAAGGTTGAAGGGATACTAGTTTAGTGAGGGATGAATAGATGAATAGGCTGGATTGTCCTAAACAGGATCATTTTGAGGTGCCAATGTCATTTGGGGCACTCTTTGCATCCTTATCCAAGGACAGGGTGGTTTCTGAGCAGGAAACAACACCATACCTCAGGCAACACTATTTAGCCCATCCTCCATTTAAATGGAAATAGGGAAAAAAGAGAAAATATATAACAAAACCAGATTCCCACTCTGTCCCCTCCACTATGGGAGAATGGGAGGAGGCTTTCAATTTAAAAATAAATGTGTGTAAGTAGCACAATGTTGAACTGGCTGGCTGTTCAACCA